GGTCGCAGAGAGGCTGTGGAACACTGAACGCAGAGCAGACGCAGGACGCACATTGGTCTACGTCTGAATCCTGCTCCCGTGTCTTCTAGCTCTGTGACTCTGGACAAGAGAAGTCCATCTGTGTGCTTCTCTTTTCCCATGTGTTAAACGGGATAATAACAGCATCTTCCTCACAGGGTGGTGGTGAAGATGATACGGTGCAAAGGCTGGAAGGCACTGGCCACAGGGCCTGGCATACAGAAGGTGTGAACTATATTTTTACAGTAAAGGGGTTATTTTTAATTGGACATACTGATAGTACTCGGTATTGTGAGAAAATCACTTCCCTGGTCAATCCATCCAAACACATGCAAATTCTAGATGTTCTTGTAAAAATGAAATGCACCAAAAGAGAATCTACAAAAAAACTTTATGGAATTTTGGGAAGTACTGTGTTAAACCTGTTTACTTGGAGGAGATCCAACACCTTCACTAGGTTGAACCTTCCAGTTCATAAATAGGGTTCTGCCTCTCCATTTACTTTCGATATTTTTCATCGGTGTTGTTTAGGTTTCAGCATGTAAGTTCTGTACGTGTTTTGTTAGATTTATATGTTAAGTATTATATTTTTGAGCCAATATAAATGGTATTGTATTTTTAACATGAGTTTCCACACTACTCATCTCTAGTGAGAAATACAATTGACTTTTGTCTGTTGATCTTAACATCCTGTGACATTGCTGAACTAACCTTTTGGTTCTAGGGCTTTTAATTTACATTTTTGTATAGATTATTTGAGATTTTCTATGTAGACAACCACATAAGACAAGACAAACAACAAAGAAGGAGAAGATGTAAAAAAAGTGAGCTGAGGAAAATGTGAGAGAAAGAAGAGTGAATATCAAGCAAAACCTCCCAGGAGTTAGGTGCAAGCTTACACAAGATTATTCTAAAACTTATATGGAAAGGTAAAGGGGTATAATAGCTAAAACAATTCAAAAAAGAATAATGAATAAAGAATCAGTATATTCAATTTCAAGACATTAGCTAGCTATAGATATCAAGATTGTGGCATCATGGAGGGATGGACGCACAGATCAATGGAGCACAACAGAGAACCCAAAAAGAGCCCCACGAAAGTTCAAACACTGATTTTTGACAAAGGTGCAAAAGCAATTAAAAGAAAAAGGACTAGAATTTTCAACAAATGGTGCTGGAGCAATTGGATATCCATAAGCAAAAATAGGAATATTGACCTCATACCTTTCACTTCAGACCTTAAACAAAAATTAACTCAGACAAAATCATACAGTCAATTGTAAAACAACAAAAAAATTATTATTAGGAAACAACAAAGAAGAAAATCTTTAGGACTTGTGGCTTGATGAAGGATTCTTTGATATGACATCAAAAGAGTGATCCATGAAAGAAAAAAATGAATAAATCTGACTGATCAAAATTACAAGAACTTTTTCGCTGTGAAGGACCTTGTTAAAAGGATGAAAAGATAGGCAACAGACTGGGGAAAATATCTACATGATATACATCTGACAAAAGCCTCATATCTAGAACATATAAAGAGTTCTCACAGCTTTAAAAAACCAAACAATCCAAATGGAAAATGGGCAAAAGACATTTCAACAAAGAGGGCATATAAAAAGCAAATAAACATGTGAAAAGATGTCAATATTATTAGGCATCAAAATCTATCATTAGCCATGAATGAGTTATAACTACAAACTTGTTAGAACAAGTAAGATGAGAGAGAATAGAGAGAGAGAGAGACAGAGAGAGACAGAGAGAGACAGAGAGAGAGAGAGAGAGAGAGAGAGAGAGAGAGAGAGAGAGAGAGAGAGACACCATCCAATAAATGCTGGCAATAATGGAGAGAAACTCTATCACTATATGCCTTGATAGTGGCAATGTAATAGGGTAGAGACACCTGGTAAATAGTTTGGCAGTTTCTTTAAAAAACGAAACATACACTTACCATAGGACCCAGGAACTGCACTCCTGGGCACCTGTTCCAGAGAAATGAAAACTACATCCACGCAAAAACTAGACACAGTTGTTCAGAGCAGCTTTACTTATAATAGCCCCAAACTAGAAGCAATCAAAATGTCTCTTAATGGGCAAATGATTAACTAAACTATGGTCTATCCATACAAGGACTGGCATTCAGCAATGAAAAGGAAGGAACTATTGAGGCATTCAATGACTGGGAGGTATCTGAAGAACAGCTGCATGAAAAAAGCCAATGTCACACGTCACATACTGCATGATTCCATTTATATAACATTCTCAAAATCAGAAGGATGGAGAACAGATGTAGTGGTTGTCAGGAGACAAGGATGAGGAGTCATGAGGATGCCTGTGCAGCACAAGATCTCTGTGGTACAGAATAGGATCCTGATCGTGGTGGTGGTTACACAAATCTATACAAGTGATAAAATGAACTATATACACAAGGTCAACTTTCTGATACTGTACTAACATTATAAAAGACTATCGGAGTGTACCAGGTGACACATGAGACTTCAATCATCTTTGTAACTTCCTGTGGATCTATAATTTCAAAGTAAAAAGTTTAAAGGAAACAGTTGGAGGAGAGAGAGAGAGAGAGAGAGAGAGAGAGAGAACAATAATCTACTTCCCAAATAAAGGAACAATCCTGATTTTAAAAAACAACACAAGAGGTTAAATCACAATGTAAGTTGTCATGTTTCTCAGGTTATAAGACATTTTATATGGAGAAACAGGTTCTCACATTTCTAATATTGGGAAAATAACCTAGGGTCAAACTTTGGCCTCAAAATCAAAGATGAGACTGTCTCCTAAATTGTCTCAAAACTTTAAAATGAAGTCTCTTTTTGAACAAAAAGTCTTTTCCCATTATTATGGTTCAGAATATGCCACTGATTAAAATACGTTATTTAAATAGTACCGAAGACAATAAGGTACAATCATTGAAATGATTCATGTCTGTGAGGATACTAAATTGAAGGTATATTGAGAAGATGAGATAGAAACAAAAGAAATTTAACACATTAATAGTGTTCTTTCAAAGAGTTTCTCACTAATTTTTTTTTTTCCTTTCTCTGTCACTCAGGCTGGAGTGCAGTGGAAGGACCACGGCTCACTGTAGCCTCGACTCCCCAGTCTCAAGTGATCCTCCTGCCTTAGCGCTCTGAATAGCTGGGGCTACAGGCATGCACCACCATGCCCAGCTAATTTTTATATTTTTGTGGAGAAGGGGTCTTGCCATGTTGCCCACGCTGGTTTCGAACTCCTGGGCTCAAGCTGATCCACCCACCCTGGCCTCCCAAAGTGCTGGAATTACAGGCATGAGCCACCTGGCCTCAATAACATTTTCATGTACGAATTATAATAATCCAATTATAATAATCCAAACAGAACAATTCTAGATTTAAATGATTTCTTACTGTAAACTGAAGTGCTTTAAAAGTTATATTTTGATAAGAGATTTTTAAAAAATCAAAACAAAGAACAAGGATTTGGAGCAGAGCTGACATCTTAGTCTACCGAACATAGAATTATTTTTCTTTAAAAACTCCCCATTATCATGCAATCTATTTAGAAGAACTAGCATCAGAGATACCATAGTTGACATTTCCCAAGTCTCCTTCATGAATTCTACATTTTACATGACCATTTAAATAGAGATGTGTATAGAGTGAAGGGAAAAGTTTTGAAAATAGCAATGCTTCCAAGTTTACGTTCCACCTAAATGTGCAAATCAGTTCTAGGATCAGTGATGCAAACGGTGGCTTTCTCATCCTATAGCATCTCCCAATAATGCATCAGGCATGTTTAGGATAAGCCTTCCTATCTTCCATCTCTCTTCCCACACATCACTAGAGTATGGGTTATGACAGCGTTTCTGGGATTTAAGGACTGGGAACAAGGATAATGAAAAGGTCAAGTGGAAAAAGCTGCCTGTGCGTGTAATATGGAATCCCAATCTCTATTTGTAACTCGGTTGTTCCATCTGTTTGCTTTGAGATGGACGTATTTCTGGTAGACAGTGCAACCCAAGAAATGATCCACTAGAACCCCTCTTAGCAATGGTCTGCCGGGCTTTCTTATCAAGGAAGCCAAGGGTTTCACAATTTCATTGTCATTAGGGACAAGAGCTCCCTCTAGTACACATCATTTTACAGTGGGTTGACACTAAGTAACCCAATGAATCCTGTACTCAATGTTCTGCCAGTACACATGGCCTCTAATCAGTGAAATAGAGGCCAATCCTAATTCAACCTATTGAACAGTAAGATGTTAATGGGGAACCTGGCATTCCACTTTGCCTTCTTCACTAGGTTGACACTTTTATTAAATAATCAGAAATGGATAAAAGGGAAACAGCGTAAAGTGGGCTCGCAAAGATACAAAAGCAGACATAAAATTAAGAAGACCTTTGTCCTACATGGATTTCTTATCCTCCGCATTTGTAAAGAATCCGAAAAACACATTTTCTATATAAATAGAACAAAATTGAATCCCTGTCACAAACACTCTTAATTAACTCAGAAATCTGCTTTTATTCTGTCTTCCATGTGTGCATAGGGAAGTGTACCTCAGAATCTAAATCACGACAGCTATGAAAACAAGTCTGGCATAGCTGACAGATTTTTTTCTCGGTGAGTATTTATAAAGCAGAAGTTATGCTTAGTCAAATAATTTATAATTACTATCTGTATAAAACCTTAACCATATCATGTTCATGTACTACAGAATTTAGCATTTTCTGCACAATGGGTTCTGGAGACTATAGCATCATACCCAGAATATTAGATAAATAGTCTGACTGCTGTCATTTTAATAATGTAAAATTACAGGAAGTGAGTGATTAAAAAGTAACCTTAATGTTGTTACTTTTGGTTCAGAATGGTAGCAAGATCTCTTTGGTTTTTTTCATTCCCAAATCCCTGTTAAAATGAAAATAATAAAACGAGCAGAAAGAACAAGAGACATACAAAGTGTACGGATGAGTTCGTACTAACCTCACAGGACAGTGGCAATCACGCGAAGTGTCCGAGGAAGATTCCAGGAAGAAATGAGTGCATTTGCCTGGCACCACTCCGCAAAGAGCAGGACCTGAGGGCCAGGAGAGGCCCGGAGTGTGGGCTCAGAATCAAAGCTGAAAAGACAGAGCCTGTGAAGCACCAACAGAGCAATGGTGGGCTCCTAAAATCCCCACCCTGATACGGCAGTGAGGCAAGCCCCACCACCTGCCACCTTTGCCAGCACCCGGGGGTCCTTGGCAGGCCGAAGCAGGCAGACAGCAGGACTAGGGTAAAGGGAGCCTTCAGAGGGTGGGACCTTTAGCTCCTCGCTCTGCTGAGCTCTCACAAGGCCAGGAGCAGGACACTTTCCAGGAAGGAATTATTTTTCCCTCTGAAGAAACTCATCAGCCCTGGGAAGGTACGCTCTGGAGGAGACGCCTGCTGAAGTTAGGGATTCTAATGTGGAGAAAGTCAGCTCTGCATATGATTTCATACAGCACACTCCATCATCAGCAACTCCCACCTCCGCACACGGAGATTCCACTCTGATTTTTCAGAACTCCCTTGTAAGTGGTAATGGGCAGCCAAACTTCTAACAGGAAAGCCACAGACTATTCAAATAATCGAACAGAACAAAAGCGACCTGAAGGAAAATAAGATATGCTAAGGACATTTGCAGAGAACTTCCGAAGGCCTAGGAAATAAAATACAGAAATAAGTGAAGTTTTTGTAGCTCTAAAATAAAAAGCAAATGCTCTTTAAAAAAACCCAACAACAGAAAGAGGCAAAAATAAGCTTTGGAAATTAAATAAATAATTAAAGATTCAATAGGTAGGTTTGAAGAAATATCAAGGAAGTCTCCTAGAAAGTAAAGTGATAAAAGTTAGAAAATAAGAAAGAAAAGATAATAACAATTAGAGGATTCATCCCAGCAGACTCAGTACACAAGTAATAAGAGTTATAAGCAAGGGGAATAGAAGATAGTGAATGGGAGAAATTGTTTAAGAAATAATATCAAAAAGTTAGTCAGATGATGGGACACAAGTACCTATGGCTGGAATATCTAGAGAATGAAGAAACAAAAATCGACAGTGAAGTAAATTTCTGTAAAGTCCAGAGCATGAGAGACAAAGAGAATATCTTTAAAAGCTTCTAGAGAAAAATCAGGGCACATTCAGTAATCAAAATGGCACTGTACTTAAAAAGAGCATTTAGTGTCTTCAAAATTGAGGGAAATGATTTTTAAGAGATAATTATTAACCTACAGCTTTATGCTCAGAGGGTTCTTCTTCAAGAAGGTTACAATAAAGATACTTGTATGCAGAGATTCAATACTACTTGTGGTATGCAGAGATTCAAAAGAATAAAGATACTTGTGGTATGCAGAGATTCTAGGCACCTTTTCTTAGGAGGCTTACAGAGGGTGTGCTTCAGTAAGGTGAGAGAACAAACCTACAAAGAAAAAGATAAGAGATCCAAGAAAAGAGGAGATTCCATCTAGAATGGCAGCCCAAGGCGGTTCCCACATTCTCTTGATAAGCCACAGCACAGCAGCTGTTGGAGCAGCTTCGAGAGCCACTGGCCCAGAAATGACCCTGGAATAGAGATCTAGGAAACAGGTCTGTATGAGCACACATGAAATATTATTCAAAGGCATATGGCAGAAATGCTGGAACATTTGGGAAAATAATCTGACTCCAGGTATATTTTTAAAAAGGCAAAAGACAAAAGGGAGGTCATTAACTCTATAAAAAGGGACTTTATAAGCAAAGAGTCATGGTTACAGGATAGTATGCAGAATGTGTAGCTATATTAATTGTCACAATAAAATTAACTTAAAAAGTAAACTAATTATAAAGACTCCCAACTTATATAATTTCTGCCATCTGGCATATTCCCTGGGCAATTCAAGGGGAAAGACAATTAAAAAATGAGTTTAAAATATTACTGCAGGTTTTCCATACACTATGGAGTAAATCTCATAGATTCAAAACTTACTAAACGAAGCATTCTCATATGGATGCTTGGAATCTGGGAAACTAATATTGACTGAAACACAAATACTTTACTTTGATGAGCTCTACTCAACTTCTGAGACCCACAGGAGAATACATCAAATAACAGCATTAATATGCTGTTCTATCAGTGAGACCACTGAAGCTGCATCCACAGTGGTGCGTGTGGACAACAGAGATCAACGGGCCTCTGGCTTTCCTGTTTGCATGGCACCTCCCCAGCCCTGGAGCCACACAGCACTCATAGTCTCATCCTGCTTCATCCTATTACAGGGCTGATTCTTCTGCATGAACTTGCCACTGACTAAACTCTACATTTACTGTCCGTCTCCTGCACTGTAACTAAGCAAGCTCCAGAGGACATCACTGCCACTGTTACTCACCCTTGTATCCCTGTATAATCAAATATTTAAATGACTGAAAGAACGAAGGGTGTAACTGAAGGAGAGTAGCATGTTTCTCCCAGCTTTCTTATGGGGACATTCTACCTTGCTTGGATGTTGGCTGGGAGGGAATGGGCCTCGGGGGATTCTGATGCCAGCCTCCACCCTGCCGGGCTTTTCAGTAACTATCACCTATTCTCCCAGTCTTTGATCGAGCCTAGTTACATCCATTCTTGTTTCTTCACTTTGGGAATTTCATGGATCCCAGAAACATGTACCTTAAATGAGGGATTCTTTAGAACACAACTCTCGGGTAATAAATCAAAATTTCAACAATATGGGCTGGCAGTCCCACCCTCAGAGGTCTTATTTTTATCTGCAGTGGAGGGATAGCCACTTCTGGGATGGGATCCAGTAATCTGTAAGTTCGTGTTCCAACACGAAAATAAATTACACAGAAAGATGTTCACCTGTTGAAATACCAGAGGCACTTCCTGAAGTGCCTTGCCTAGAATTTCTTCCAGTAGATAATGGCTGTTAGTGGAGTTATTCTCTTATTCCTACATTCTCCATTATGCCTCAGCATGCCACAGTTTCAGGATAATTCAGATGAGAGGGGCTAGACCAGGAAGATGAAAAACCCTCTTTCCACATAAAGAAGGTTTCCTAAAGCAATCTCATTAAGAAAGCTGTAGGCTATGGATCAGGTATTTGAAATAATGATAAAATATTTATGTGCAAACATAGTTTGCCTATCTTCTGTAAATATGCTCCAGTCATGTGGTTCATATTTCCTCACTCTAGTTAGAAACCATGTGCCCTTGGGGAAGGCGCCCTCAGAGTCACTGAGTCTAGGACACGATTCTGGGATGTACAAACATTGAATTAAAGTATGAATCTGGAAGTCGGACAGACCTTGGCTTGGCCCTGGGCTCTGTGGCTTACTGGCTACATTTCCCAGAAGCAGGTTATTTACCCAAACCTGAGTCTTGGTTTTCTCAACAGTAAAGGAGGGATGATCATAACCAGTCTTACCAGATCACTGAGAATGTAGAATGAGATAACCCGCACAGAGCGCTTAGCGGGACTGCAGCAACCAGAGTGGTCACCTACTGTCTTTCCACAGGCCAGCCTGGGAAGCAGTACAACCCTGAGGAATCTCTGCAGACAGGTCGGTGGGAAGAACTAAAGCTATCAGAGGGGTCTGGATATATCCTACAGTGATTGCAACAAGACTATAAGTACCCTTGCAATTAGAACCAAGTTATTTGGAATAGTAGATCTTCAGTCACAGTGAGAAATTTACATACCACTATTTTCCCCTAGTATAGTCTAGATGTGTCCCCCACAAAATTCATATGTTGAAACCTAACCCTCAGTCCAATAGTATTAAGAAGTGTAGCCTTTAGGTGGTGATTAGATCATGAGGGCATCAGTCTCATGAATGGGATTAGTGCCCTTTTATAAAAGAGGCTTGAGGGGATGTGTTTGTCCCTTCCCCTCAAGGACACAGCAAGAAGTCACCATCTATGAGAAATGAGCCCTTACCAGACACTAAATCTGCTGACGTCTTGAACTTGGACTTTCCAGCCTCCAGAACTGAGCAATAAACTTCTGTTGTTTATAAATTACCCAGTCCAAAGTATTTTGTTACAGCAGCTCAAACTAAGTCACCCTCTAAACTCGAATTAAGAGAAAATAAGTTAAGAGAGAAGAATGGGGAGGGAGGGCATGCGCACGAACTTTCTTCAGGAATGCTCCCTGCTTTGGATTGGCTCTATTCTGGATTTCAGTCCAGCCACCCCAAGTAAGGGGCAAGTGAACAGGCACATTTCAGAGTGTTTGTTTTTTGGTTTCTAAAGGATGCCATTATTTCATTTCTCCAGAAAATCATGAATAATTTTAATTCTGAATGCTTAAAGTAATATGTAAGAATAACGTCTGTAGGTAACATTAAAACAAGAATCTAGAAATGAGATTGTAAGGCCAGCAGCACGAATATGGTTGAGGGGCTTTTCAACTTATTATGAGGACTGCACTATCTGTTTCAGGGTTGCAAAGAGAGACAGTGTTCCCCAGGCTGCAGCAGAATAACACGTGAAGTTGTATCTCTAAGAAGGAGGAGGCTCATCCTGCCTCATCCTATTACAGTGCTGGAGCCACTTTTCAAACTTTTATGGTTTCAAAGGGGGATTTTTGGAGATTTTAACTCATAAGTGGCCTGGAAGATGCTCACAACTGATGCTGCTTACAAGGTGTGCTGCTTCTTTGTAACTAAAAATGTGAATGTGTTGAGGGTAAACAGTCTCTTAGTGCAGCCACTTTGGAAGCAGTTCGGCCCCAGATAGCATGCCCCCTTCCCCAGAAGCAGGCATCTGCAATGAAGCTTCTACTTAACCTAGTCTGAAGAAACTTCCCACTGCTAATCTTCCAGTAAGCACCCAGACCTGATCTGAAATTTGGTCTCCCCCATCCCCTTCAAGAAAGATCACCCGTTTGGGGATGGGAAGAGTAAAATCTGAATGTCCTGGAATGTGGCTAGTTTCCATTCTCATGGTTAGTAAATCTGCAGAGCTTTCTGGCTCTTGAGGTCTGACTGAGGCTTGCTCCCTGGCTTTATCAATCTGCGTTGGCATTTCCAGGACAGAACATGCTCATTCATCAAATGTCTGGAAAGTCATGTCACTGAACAAGGTCAGTGGAGAGAGGAAAAAAGAGAAAAGAAACATTTTGAAT